CACACACACACACACACACACACAGACACACACACACACACGCACACACACACACACAAACAAAAAAACGAACTTCTTCCCTTTTTTTTTTCGGACGCCCCGCGCGGCCTCAAATTTTTGTTAATATTTTTTTGTGGTTTATGACGCGACATCCCACTCGGGTCCAAAACACCCCTTCCCAACATTTTTTTTTTTTCGCCCCTTATTTTCGGGGTGCGCCGCACCCTGTGCGCGCGCGTCGTGCGCTGTGCGCAGTGCGGCGCATGTGCACGGTGCAGCGCCCGTCGATGCGCTGCAAGTATGGTTATAAGCATGGTTCAAAATGGGGTCGAAGGGGCTTAAAGGGACTTGAAGGGGCTTAAAGGGGTATGAATCCGTATGATACAATTTAGTTTTTTTTTTTTTTAGATTCCATTACGGATTTCAGGGTGACACTCAGCCAAAAGTTGTCTGATTTTCAATTTTTTTTTTCTTTTTTTTTTTTTTTTTTTTTTTTAAACCCCAAAAACAAACCGCCCCTTCTATTCTGGGGGGCATCAGTCCGGTTGCTTCTCACCGGCAAGCACGAAAACCAATGTACAATTGTTTAGAAGAGAAGAGAGGAGAGCCTTACCCTTGCGGCCCTAGACGCCTATCAAGGGGGGGACTGCTACGACCAAAGCCCACTTCCCATACCATAGCCTCCCCAGGGGCGCCCCCGTTGGTCGGGAAGCTTCCAAGCAGGACCCAGTCACGCAACGGACGGGTCCCCGGTGAGAGCCCAGCCCGGGGGGGTTGTCCCAGCAGTCTCGCAGGCCCCACATCCTGACCACCCKCGTTCACTATACACCCATTGAACTACGGTGCCTGTCATCTATCAACAAGTGCCCCTTTTTACATCCCCCTGCATTCTTAGGCTTCCTCCACTGTGCCTTATCTGTGGCCGGGACTGGGACTTCCCTGGATTTCGTCTGAATTCTGCATGACGTAGTTTTTTTTTTTTCCAGGTTTTTTTGGCGATGTGCACAAAGGAGGAAGTGTGGGGGGCAGTTCCTTTGCATGGGCACCATCTCATTCCACGCTGAACAAACAGCCGCGAACCGTTCGCCCCCTTCCGAGGCTCGAGCGCATCACTGCGCATGCAGCAGGATTCGGAATCGTCCGCGGAGGGAGCTCTGCGGGCCTTCAACTAAGACCGGCCTCATCTTCCTTTGCCCGGGGGTGCGACCCTCTTTCGTGGGCTCC